ATATATATATATATATATATATATATATATATATATATATATATATATATATATATATATATATATATATATATATATATATATATATATATATATATAGTGGATATGTGTTAGTTATACACATGCGCAGATTTGACGATTTTAACGGACACCATGAAAACAAAGATACACCCTTCCAGAAAGTGATTAACTAGCCGATTATACTGGCTTGTTCATAGCCGCGAGTGTGTTAGATGTGTCGATATATACAGGTGCAAGAATTGATTATTTTATCGAAATATAAAGAGCTTATGAAACCCCTACAGAATTAAAACAAAGAAACACAAGAGGTCCAGAGAGAGGAAACAGCAAGAGAAGAGGTGACGACTTAAGAGGCTGTCTCCGTAAAAACCTCCAGGTCATTAACTCAAGACAACAGGAACTATATATTTGGTCTAAACCAATATCCATCACCCTAGCATTGAGGTAGGGTATAGCATAAAAGCACTTCTCATTTGGGACAAAGGTTCAGTTTACTTGGTAGAGTCGAGATGGCAGGTCGAAAGTTGTTCGTGCTGTTTGCTTTGCTAGTTACTACAGGATTTTCTTCTTGCGAAGAAAATTTTAATGCAGGTACATTTTTTTGTTAACGACTATATAAAAATGTGGTTCAGAGGTAGCAAACAATAATAATTGCCTAATGAATTATATATAGATGCAAATTGTGATGCTTGTTTGCGAATGAGTAGATTTTAGGGGCAATAAATTGTAGCTCTTTTAGCTTTTTAGCTACAATCCTGGTCAATACCATCTGCGATACTCTATTAAAATATTCCTTTGCAGCTTGTTTTACTAGTAGACCGGAATAATTTACTCGTTTGCCTCCCTCTGTCCCCCAAAACAATGGTGGACGCTGTTCTGGGAATGCAATCAACATTGACTGGTGGGGTATAAGGCGAGGTTTGTTTCGAAATTTGCGATAATATTACGAAATTTTGTCAAATAATTGGAAGTGGCGCCGATGGTTTGTCCAGGATTGTGTCGCTAAAAGGACGTTACACGACACATATATTTTTTTTCAAATTTGCTTGTCCTGTCGGGGGACACTATACATCACCTTGCCTCGATCCAGGTTTCCTTACAGGGTAAGGTTTTTCCTGCCCCCCGATGTTATAGCAGTTTGTAAACTGTGGTTAGGCTATACCTGTAAGAAATAGTTCGACATGTATAATTATTTGCACATTTATTAATGTAGCGCCCACACAAGGAATGAAACTCCGTTTGCAATTGTGCGTACTAGCTGTATTAATTTAAATAATTATTATTAGTATAGAACAGTGTAGAACTGATAGAGCTATTCAATATAAATAAAGTTAGTTTAGTAATTTAGATATCTTCCTGTAATTACACTGAATCAATAAGGAATGATCCTTACGGGATCTCTATAGGGAGAACAGTTTAGAACTGATAGTATACTAGTATCTTGGAGAAATCTTGAGTCTACGAAATGGAATCTCCTGTGTTCCGGGGGAAGGTTTGACGTGCAGAAACTATGCCATTTTTGTTCGTTTTACATTCCAAAAAACAAAGAATCTGACATCTTCATGACATCTAAATTTTACAACTCCGATCGTTTTTATGGAGCCCCATCATTTCTACCGTTGCATACCATGAGTCCCCTCCTCTCCCCTTCCACTTCCATGCAGAGACAATAAAAGATTGTCCTTGCTATATTCTGTACATCTAGGGAGAATATTGATCCTAACAACCCGATTTTTATTTCCTTATACAGAGGAGCTTTCAGAAAATGGTGCTTTTCGAGATGAAACGTCGACTGACGAGATATCAAAAAGAGCGGTCCAGAGTGCAAAAACCACATTCAATAGATTGAAATCAACATTTGTCGGGCTGGCGGGGGGAAAGGGTGCGCTTGGGAAACCTGGTTTCCGCGGACGTCCCTCTTCAAGTAAGAAAAATGGGATGGGCCAAACACGAGTATTGTTTGTTTGTAGCAATATTTCCAACACATTTCTGGATTTCGAAAAAAACTTTCAAATCATCATTATTGGATATTCATCAGTAGTCAGAAATCAATCAAGCGTATTTAAGCATTATTAATATAGACGATAATTTTTTCTATATTGCATATATAATTGCGATGTAAAACCTTAAAACATTGTGGTGTTTTTCATGCACAAAATTACTTTATTTTAGCATTATTTTACAGATAATGGCCTGAACATGCACTCTGTTTAAGTGAAAACATAGTTCGAACATTCATTAAACCATATTAATTAACTTGATTTTGTTAATCTATAGAGCTTGAAATGTCCCCTGTAACAAAATGTGTGACCACCAACTCTCATCAACTCCTCGTTTGACCCGCAGGGGCCTTAAAAAGTTTGAGATTTTAGAATTTTCTCTGTCAATCGACATATGATCATAAACAAATAATTGCCGAGGTTGTCATTCATTTTTTTGCAAGTGGACGAAGACTTTGTTAATTTGAGCAATCATTATTTTACAATTTCTTAATATAACATGTACCCATGCACTAATCGATGCACTAAACAATTCACAAAGGGTATTAATCATATCAAATATCGGTTAAGAACGTTTTTTCTTGACTAATTGATGCTATGTTACGAAAGGGTGTTGCAGAAAATTTCTTGGCCCGAGGCGTGCATTGTTCTTCAATGGCCGAGTACTTAAATATAATAGATTTAAGAGGGCTTTAACCAATTTGCATTCATGACATTTTTTCTGATGACCCATGTCACTCATACCAACCCCTCCCCACACACCCCATCGCTTTTCTGATTGTCCACCATTTATAGTGCTTGTGTCCCTGACTCCATTTACATGTTACGAGAGCAATTTCAACATGCATCATGTCTTATATTCTATATATGAAGCACTATTGTTTTCCTTTTTATAGCTTCGTACAAAATAGACATAGTATTTGTCATGGATAAATCTGGAAGTATTGGGCTAGGAAATTTCAACCTGGAGAAACAATTTGTTGCAAATTTGATTGAATATTTTCCAATTTTCCCCTCCAAAACTCGAGTGGCTATCGTCACATATTCAACTCATGTAAAAGTGGAGTTCAACTTTAATAAATATATCAATAAAGAATGTTTACGGAAAGGCATTCAAGATATAAGGTAAGGGACCGTTCATTATTTATACCCTAGGGTGGGGTGGGAGATTCTTATGTCATATACAAAAATGTGTAGCCCTCCCCCCCTTTGACGATCTCAATGTTGAAGATCCCCATATAAAATATTGGAAAGTTTATAACCCCCCCCCCCCGTTTGTATGAATGGTTTAATACTGTAAAGAATAGTAGTAGGCCTATAGAATAGAATACAGTATAGGTCATGAATTTTGCTTTTATAATTAAAGTTATATTCTCTATTTAACAGATAATATAAGTTTTCCCAGATTTCTTATATAAAGTGTTTTTAATAATTCCTTTGAGAATCTCGCGGTATTGGACATTGTAGTTTACATTCGAGATATTTATTAGGGTGTGTTAAACTATATAAAGTATAACAAACTACTAATGCACACAACTTAAACTGGCATTTACAAGTTTGTTTAAATGTCATTCGAACACACACTTTTTTAGTTAATAGTTAGTTCAAAGCCAATTTAACCCTTTAAGTGCACCCTACTTTATTATTTTACTCTGTCCAACGACAGGCAATTTTACTCGTCAGGGGGAGAGCGCTGCCACTCATTGGGTTATATATATATATATATATATATATATATATATATATATATATATATATATATATATATATATACCGGGTGTCCCAAAAAAAACTTGCGCTGTTTGATTTAATGTAACATAAAAACTATAAAAGCTATTGCACTCAAATAAATTTCATTGCATTCAAAAAGGGCTACCTTAGATTTTGATACATTACATTTGAATATCCGTGCGATATTTACTGAGCTATCGATGTTTTAAATCGAATAAGCATATTTGACAATGTTAAAAATTTGCATAAATTTGCCAATCAAATATTATTTAGTTAAACTTGATTATATAGTTTTATTGTGGCCAAAAGAACGAATGAAAAACATAGTTGTTGGACAAACATTTATTCATTTATCATAGAAAGTATGTCCCCTTGCACGTATACAATGTCTTGCACGGGAAAACATAAAAGCCAAACTCTTTGATCTTTTGTTAATCGAAGCATATTCGAAAGGCGAACGAGGACCAACTTTATAATACGAACTCTCAAAGGACGTCAAATATTGTTTTCGAACGTTTTTTAATTTTTCATGCTTATTTCGCTTCCCAAGAAACACAAAAGGTTAACTTATATACTATGACATTACCCGGAATTAAAGTTGAGTTGAAATGCTGAAATTGAAATTGTTAATTTTTGTGGAAAATGGCAATTTATTTTCATATAAATTTGATCAGCCATGTTTCTCGATTTTTTTACTCATTTTTAAAGCGAGCGCCACATTCAAACGTTTGTATCTCACGTATTATTACATGAAACTTTTAGGGCTGTATATCAACATCTAAGTTAGCCTTTTCTCAATACAATAAAACTTATTTGAGTGTAATAGCTTTTATAGTTTTTACCTTACATAAAATCAAACACCGCAAGTTTTTTT